TAGGTGAAGTTTGACCAGGACCTCCTAATAATAGCCTTTCCCAATTTCGTCCCTTCATCCCAACTAGAGCTCCTTTTCATAAGTACCTTTGACCAAGATCGTATATTCATGTAATACAGTGTATAATCATTTACATGTAGCATTTTTCTCATTTATTTCTACACGAATAATAATTGTTCTGTATTCTTTCACAAGTCAGCAGTATGGTCTTGGGGACCTGCTATGTTACTACATGTAGAGGTGTGTTTTGTTTCTTTGAATTGCATCCGGTAGTGTTAATGTATCCTGAGTTTGTTTTAGCCATTTCCTTTGTTATTTAGTCTGATAGCAAGTTTTATTTCTATAAAATGTTTCTTCAGTTGGTTATCTTTGTCATGCCTCTGTCTGTGCATGTGATTTCTTTAGGGTAAAAAGGCCAAAAAAAGTAGGAATTGCTGAGTGTAGCAGTTATATATTTAATATATACTCTCACTGAATTCCTTCCATTAGTTCTATTACGGATTTGTACCCAGTCCGGTATTCACCACTTGTATTACCTTTTGTTTCACACATGCACCACCACCATTTGTATTATTAAACAGCCATGTTTTTTGAGTGAAAATGGCATTCCATTTGCTTGGAATTGCTAGTGAGGTTCATCATCTTTTTACATAATTTGTTTATCCATTTTTGGTTCTTGTGGGGTAAATCTTGCTTATCTCACTGTCCTTTGGGTTGCATTTTTATCCTATTGAGTTTTAAGGTGTCTTCCTTTTTGTTTGTGTGTTGTTTGGAATTCTGGATTCAATAATTTCTTATACATGCTGAAAATTTTTACCGTTAGATTCTTTTCTTTTTGGTCTAAAGTTTAATTTTTGATAAATAATTGTATCTTTTTTCTTTCCTTTATAGTTTTTGCTTTTTAATGTTAAAGATAAGACTTTTTCTTTTTCTAGATAATCATAAATCATACCCTCTTATTTTTCTTTTCAATGTGGTTTTTGTTTTATTTTTTATTGTTTAACCTTCAGTGAATGATTGTCTGTCAGGTTAGTATTTAAAAACTTTCTTGTCTATATTTATGCCATGGTCAACTCTTACCTTTTATATCTTTGTTTACATATACAAAATGCACTGGTATTTATTTATTTATTTTTGGTTTTTTCCTGAGGATGGGAGTCTCCCTTTGTTCACCTAGGCTCGAGTGCACTGGTGTGATCTTGGCTCACTCAACTTCTCTCTTCTTGGGTTCAAGGCCAGTTTCTGCCTCAAGCCTCTCCGAGTAGGCGTTACTACAGGTGCCACTTACCTCACGGCCATGCTAATTTTGTATTTTAGTGAGACAGGGTTTCACCACCCTTGGTTGGCAGGCTGGATCTTTGAACTCCTGGCCCCAGGTGATACCCACCCGTTCTTCGGTCCTCTCCAATAGTGCTAGGATTACAGGTGTGAGCCACCGTGTCTGGCCAAATGCACTGGTGATTTAATTGTCAGTTTGAGTTTTGTTTTTGTTTGTTGTTTGGGTTTGAGACTGGAGTCTTGCTCTTTTGGCTTAGCTGGAGTGAAGTTGCTGTGATTCTCAGGCTCACTGCCAACCTCCGGCTCCTGGTTCAAGTGATTTTCCGCTCCTCAGCTTCTCAAAGTGTAGCGCTGAAGATTTGCAGGCGCGAACCACACGCCTGGCTAGTTTTTTGTATTTTTAGTAGAGACAGGGTTTCACCATGTTGACAGCTGGTCTTGAAACTCCTGAACCTTCCGAGGTATCAATTGCCTCTGCTCCCAAATTCTGATACCGCGGAGCTGAGGTCCCACTGGCGCCGGCGGTCCCTGCTCTGCGCAGTTTGAGTTTTGATCATATAGTTGCACCTGTATAACCATCACCATAATTAATGAATTAGACTATTTCCATTTACCAAATTCCATGTTTCCTTTGTTTAGCTCCCTTGCCTCACCACTGTCCCCTATTGCAATTTCTCGGTCTATTTTATGTCAACTCTAGATAAGTTTTGTTTGCGTCCCAGATCCGGAAGAACTCAACAAATTACAAGAAAAAAAATAAGCAACCCATCAAAAGTGGGCAAAGCGCATTATGAACAGACACTTCTCAAAGAAGACATTTATGCAGCCAACAGACATATGAAGAAATGCTCACATCACTAGGCCATCAGAGTTAAATGCAATCAAAACGCCACAATGAGATACCATCTCACACAGTTAGAAATGGCAATCATTAAAAAATGCAGAAACAACAGGTGCTGGAGAGGATGTGGAGAAATATGGAACACTTTTTACACTTGTTGGTGGGACTGTAAACTAGTTCAACCATGGTGGATGACAGTTGTGGCCGATTCCTCAACGGATCTAGAACTAAGAAATACCATTTGACCCCAGCCCATCCCTTTACCTGGTTGTATTACCCTAAGGATTATAAATCATGCTGCTCAAAAGACACATGCATACTATGTCTTATTGCGGGCACATGATTCACAAATAGCAAAAGACTTGAATCAACCCAAATGCCATCAATGACAACTGGATTAGAAAATGTGGCACATTCATATATCCATGGAATACTATGCAGCCATAAAAAGGTGAAGTTCGTTGTCGCATTTGTTAGGGACATGGGATGCAGCCTGGGAAACCCATATCATTCTCAGCAAACTATCGCAAGAACAGAAAACCAAACACCACATGTTCTCACTCATAGGTGGGAATTGAACAATGAGATCACTTGGATACAGGAAGGGGAACATCACACACTGCCGCTTGTTGTGGGTTGGCGGGAGTGGGGAGGGATAGCATTAGGAGATATACCTAATGTAAATGACGAGTTAATGGGTACAGCACGCCAACATGGCACTTGTATACATATGTAACAAATCTGCACGTTGTGCACATGTACCCTAGAACATAAAGTATGATAAAAAAAACGAGGGTTGCACTAAGTTGCAGTAAACTGGTTTTTATAAAGGGATTTAAACTTAAAAGAGTAGGTACCTTGGGAAGAAATAATTTAAAGCAATTTCAACAATCATACTTTAGTAACACTTTTAATGTGGGTTCTAATCTCTAATTTTTATATCAACTTTATTGAGGTGTCATAATTTACATATCATAACATTAGTACATTTTAAGTCTCTCTACCTCATACATTCTCACAAATGTCTACCTTCATGAATCCACTGCCCTCATCAAGATCTAGAATATTTCAATCCCTGTTTAGGTTCCTTCTTGTCCTATTGCAGTTAGTTTCTCAATCCCATGCCGCAGGCTATCTAATAAGTTGGTTTTGAGCCAACACTTTTTCCTGGCTTTATTACTATCTATTCATCAGTGCTTGAAATGCCACAAGTATGTTTAGATTTCAGTCTTTATGACCCAGGCTTGGTGATTAACTCATGCCCTTATTTAAACTGGAAGGATTATCCTTTGAAGAAAAATGATCAACAAAGCTTGGGTTCTTGAGTATGTCATCGCATTCCTTTGCCATGGCCTTATTCTTAAAATACAGCGTTGTTTCTTTTGAGAAGTGGAAGGTTTCTGTCTGTCTTGCAGCAGACACTGGCTATGACACTTCCATTTAATAAGGACTTGCCAAGTGCCACCTGTCTGCTTGACTACTCTAGGCATTGAGTTGAGAGTAAGTGGAGTCCCAAAGACAACATCCCTAACTCTGCAAGCTTAGCAACTTGGGAAGAATTACTTGAACTAGACATAGTAGTTTAGAGGTTTACTTTTCTGCATGTCAACCCCCTAACTTCCTGCTCACATAAATTGGAATGCTGGGTTGTTTTGATTCTGCCTCTGAGATATCTCTTGAATGTCTTGTGGCCACGTGAGGCTCTCATTCTCTCTTGCCTAGACTGCTGTAAGAGACTCCTAATTGCAAACTGTAGCAGAGTTGATACCCTGTCGTCTAAAGTTAACCAGGGCTAAGTTTCCAAAATTCTGGATCCAGGCTTGCCCCAGCTTCTCAGACAGCCACGGTCTTCCAAATTCCTATAAACAGAAGCAAAAACTTTTGAGAATGGCATTCTAGTCCTTTGCAATCTGGTCCCAACCCTGCTTTCCAGTGTCATCTCCAGCTCCACTTCCATTCTGTACTGTCTACCCCAGTGCTGCCTGAAGGTCCCCCACATATCTCCTTCCCTGGTCTACATTTGTGCTTTGCCCTCTTCGAATGTTCTCTTATCTCTTTCTCTTGTCAAAATCCTACATATCCTTTGCAGGGTCTCCTCTGGAACAGCTTCCTTAATTTCCTCAGTCATTTCCTCCTCTGTGTTCCCTTAATGTTATTTTTGCCTCTATTTTTTGCATTATCATTAATTATATGTATATCCCCTCTCCCAGTAGATTAGTGTACCTTTTAGGTAAAGGAACTGTGTCTTATTATCTTTGAATCCCAAAACTGAGCACAGAGCCTGGCACATAGACAGCAATGAATGTTGAACTGCAGAAGAAACAACTAGGGGACCAAAGCAAGTATACATTCCTGCTAACATAACATACGTAGGTGATGCACACAGTACACATATATGTCCATTGCAAATGCATGTGCTGAAAGAATGAAATAACCTTGAAAAAGGGCAATGTGGAGAAAACTGCTTTCTTTTATTAAGAAATGTTTAGTTTTTTAATATTTAAAAATGTATATAAAACATTCATATACATATACAAAGCTTTTGCTAAATAGATAATTGCATTTGTGAGAAAAAAATGGTACCTACCCAATTTTCCAACAATGAGGACTGGTTGAATCCATCATCCCACGGTCATATGGTGTATATAGAATACAATGTACAATGTCACATAAAGATGTAAAAGAATACATAAGGGCAGAGAAATACATTTGCAGGTCATCAAAAAAGCAAGTTACAAAATCATATCTAATTTATGAGCCTAGTTTTGTGGGAAAAAAAAAAAAAGGCAGAAGGGATTTCTATCAAAATGGTAATCATGGTTAAAAATGATTTGTTCTCTTTTTTGTTTACCCTTCTAGGTTAACAGCATGTTTGTAAACACACAGCATGTTTGTAATAAATAAAAGAACTATTATAAAAATTATGTACATGAGAAATAGTTCTTCAATATCAATCTTAGAGAGCAATCAAGTACTCAAGTTGTTCTGCAGGCCAGTTTAATTCTCAACATACATACCACTTGAAATTGCAGAAAAGATACATATTCTATAGGCTACTTTTTCTGGATATTTCTATGCTTCATTATAGTTCGTCTTCAGAAAGACACTGGCTTTAATTGGAAAATCATTTTGTCAAGGTCTCATTATAAAGTTATTTCAAGAAATGTGATTTAAAAATGGTTTTCTTTTCTTTTTTCTTTTTCTTTTTTTGAGACAGAGTCTCACTCTGTTGCCCAGGCTGGAGTGCAGTGGCATGATCTCAGCTCACCGCAACCTCTGCCTCCTGGGTTCAAGCATTTCTCCTGCCTCAGCCTCCGGAGCAGCTGGGATTACAGGCACACGCCACCATGCCCAGCTAATTTTTGTATTTTTAGTAGAGATGGGGTTTCACTATGTTGGCCAGGCTGGTCTCAAACTCCTGACCTCAGGTGATCCACCCACCTCGGCCTCCCAGTGTTGGGATTACAGGTGTGAGCCACCACGCCCAGCCTTAAAAATGATTTTCATAGTTAAATTAAGCAAAGAAAATGGCTAGCCTAAAATTCTTCTCTCATCCTCTGTGGAAGCCAAATAAAACCCCATTACAATGAAACAGCTTAAACTAATGGCTCCTTTTTCCTCTGTTTGAAATATGCCTGTGGATAATATGAAATAAAACAGAAAGTTGCCATGAGGAGGCCCGTGGAATTAGTAATTAGTTTTTCAGTTGGCAATTAATTTTAAATAGACTCCCTAATTACTTCTGTTTTAAGTGCCTTTTAAAAGTTCTTCACTGGGCGATGACTAAAGCTGGCACATTCCCATGGGCAGAATACCAACTCCTGGGGTCAGTAGCCCCTTGGTTTTTTGAAAAGTCAAGAAACACAGAAGGTAACATCAGTCACAGAGTCCAGGAGACCCTGATGACTGCATCGAAAATCTACCGAGGACTTGCCAATTGGACTGGCTGTAGCTCTGCTGGATAGGAGTAACAACATGATTGTGGGCTCCTGTGCAAAATACAAATACAGGGACTCTTGTTTAAACAGTATTAAGACACTCAACACAAGCCAGAGGATAGCATTAAATGAAATACAGGGCCCTTCCAAGCAAGGAGCTCTGTTTGACTGCACATCTATAAAACTTCCCATTGCTGGATGAGATTATAGTTATACCTTCTGTGATACCTAAAAAGTTGCAGCTCATCTGGGTATAAACTTTTTCAAGTACCTATGGCTTGGCATGAAACTATGCCTAGGATGATTAAGTGTAAGCAAACGAATTCATCAACTAAATATTCAAAACTCCATGTTTATTGGTACACGGAATGTCTGTGGTGGATAGCTACCCAACAATCATGCAACGGGTTTTCTATATGGGCCACTAAGTGTGACCACTGGATCCATTCATTCATCCATCTAATAAATACTTAACTCCTGCTGCATAGCAGGTACTGGGGATACAAAGACAGATGGCTCCCATCACTTATGTCCTCTCAAATGGCTCTCGTTTCTCAGGAGACAAGCATGTAGAGAGTTGATTGTTGGAGAGGAGGGGTCAAAGGAAGTTTCTCAGAGAAGAAAACAAATGAATTGAGTCCTGAGGGAAAGACAGGAGTTGTCAGTAGCAAACTAAGGTGGAAGAGTGACAGGAAGAAAGGGCATTACAAATTGTGGGAACATGTGTGAAGTTAACAATGCTGAAATTGCAAGGTATGCTCAGAGAAGGATAAAGGGTTCAGCATTATTAAATCCCTAAGTTTAGAACAGTAGAGGCTGAAACTGTCTATTTTCAGAGCCAACTGCAAGTTACCAGAGGTGTTCTAACCAATTATAGTTAGTGTAAACTAGAAACTGGGCCTAAGTTAATGGATAAATTAGCAGAAAGAAAAAAGAAAGATTGGAAGGAGCAAAGTGGAGAGGATGCGTGGGTGGGAAGTGTTTTGTAATATGTGAGAAGTTATTAAAAGAGCTTACAAGCAGATGATGGACAACATAATCGTGCCTGTCAAGGAGGCTTCACAAGGTGAAGCGGTAGGATGTATCCTGCAGCAAAGCTGATAAGCACATTTCACCGAGCCTCAACATGTCCTGGCGAGGCAGGGAGTCAAAGCTTGGGGTCCTTGGATTTTCTGCAGAAAATGCCCGGGGGTGGATGGAGATTTTCCTAGCTATATTAGTACTCCCTTAAATCCGTCCTCTGCATTGCTGAGTGTTGGATCAGGACTGATCCAAATTAGCAGCTTAGAGGCTTTTAGTTTTTTTTTTTTTTTTTTTTTTTTAAATAACCAACCTGTGGCATCTACAAATGAGGCAGTACATGAGTGAGGAAGCTTCTGGAAAGAACCACTGTGATCAACTGTTAGGGGTCAGAATTCCCTGCTAATGGGTAACTGTGCTAAAACACTTGCTTAAGGCACCTCCTTTTTGGAAGGAATTAGCTGTTTCCTTTGACAGCTAGTGTTTTGACCCCTGTTTGGAAGAAACTGGATGTTTAAAAGGGCAGTGATAACAAGAACTTACATATGTCAAAGGCAAAAACTTCTAAATAGGGAAAGGCATAACAGTCAACTACAGAGAAAATAAATGTCCAGCTCCCTCCTAGACTTTCTGAATCAGGTTCTGGAGATGGAACCCTTGTCTGTTTGTTTGTTTAGGCTGTTTATTTTTAAAAACTCTCCAAAGGATTCTGACACAGAAATGCTAGAGTGTCATGGCCCTGCATCTGCTTGGTTGCAGGCACTGTAGAAGGTGTCCTAACACTGGTAGGAGGTAAAGAATTCAGGGAGGGGTTTATGGAGCCCAGAGCCCTTCGCTCAGATCACTATCCATTTAACAGATGTCTTGGGAGGGGCCATGTAACCTTTTTGAACTTGGATTTCTCCATCTATAGGTGGGAGCATCCAGATCTTTTCGTCCCCTGGTAAGAGCACATGCATGATTTTGAGCTTTCTAGAGAAAGCCTTAAAATAGAAGATGATATTTTTGATATCTACAACACAAAAGGCTTTGACCACAATGTCCTCTAGAAAATGACTCATGTTTCTCAGTCTTTAGGGAGGATTATTTAATTTTTACTGACATTTTAATAGTCCCTTAGCCACCTTCGAAGATTTAACACTTCGGAGAATAACAGCTTTGGGGAAGGGGGTAAAATACATTAAATCAGTGACCTATGCAGCTTAGGCATAACAATTTCTAAGGCAGTAGGAAAAACAAAGAATAGATGCTACTTAAGAAAAAACAGGCTAAAATCAGAATGGAATCAATCTCTTTCAAAACATTTTCCTGTAGAAATTGTTGGAGTATAGAAAAAAGCATTAGGCTGAGGTGATGATAAGCTCCTTTCTGATCCAGTGTTGCCACTAATTAAGTCATCCTGGGAAAGTCTCTTTGTCTCTGGACCTCAAGATTTGACTGGATTTTGTCTCGGGGTCTTTTCAGTGGTAACATCCTAAGATTGAATAGGATGGCATTTCCGTAAGAAGTGGACCTAGTGCCCCACGGAGGGCCCATGAATCCATGAGAACAGCAACAAGGAGCAGCCAATAGCTTTCCACCATCACTCATCCCTGCCTATGTCAAATAGCTGTGCTCCCAACACAGATGCACTGCTCCTTCCCAAGGTGGGCCCCGTTCTAATTGCCACTGATCTGCACAAGAGCCCCTGTTCCTTGGAGAGTGGAACCTATGAAAAGATAATGTCTATGATCAGGGAATCTTAAGGATGTGTAGATAGACTTGAAGATGGCCATGAACTTGCATTAGTATACTAGTTCTCTCTTGCTCCATGCCAAACTGCCCCAGAACTTAATAGCATAACACAACAAATGTTTATTATTTCATGGTTTCTATGGATCAGGAATCCAGGCATTAGTTAG